TTTCTCTAAGTTTTTATTGTATGTTTTTAATGTGCCTTTTTTCAATTAAATTGATGTTTTTAATTGATTACCCACTTACAAATGCTAAAATAATTGACAGAAAAATCCCTGTAATCCTGCTTTAAACATGGGGCCAAACTTAACAGAATTATCATTTACTTAATATGTGTTGACATTGCCCGGCGCCAGCTCCGTTGCATTATCGATCCATATAAGAGGATAAACATATGTTCAGTGCTAAGTCCCAGGTCTTCAGCTACCCCCCGTCGTATTAAAAGGTTGCAGGATTTAAGGGGGCGTTATGTATTGAGGTCAAGCCCGAAAAGCCGGTTTTGGAGAGCAGTAGTTTGACCCAAAAAAAAGACTTGACCTTGCTGTCCTGTCTGCCTGCCTGGTGTGCCTCGCTGCCAGGGGGAAGGATCCATGTTTTCTTGAGTAGACAGAATAAACTGGAGGTGCCGCAGCAGTCCCTCTCCTCTCTTGGGTGCATAAAAAGCACTGACTATAGATTTTAAATAATATATTTAAGCACGTCTAAGCAGAATATGTAGATGCCGTCATTCTGAGAGCGGAGATGTTTGTGTTAATGTATGCGTTTGAAGTCTTGGAGTGTTTGCGCTGATAAAGAATAAACTCAAGGACAGTTCTGTTAAATCGAGTGGTGTCTTCCTCCACATGTATTGTTTTATGAGGTGTAGTTTAGCACTGCCAAGTCTTAACAAAGTCTCAGTAATGAATTTCACTGAGTGGTACAACCAGGATGAAACAGAAAAAAGATTGCTGTTAGTGCAAGTCATTTACGTGGTGCATCACAACCAGTCGGATACAAAAAACTCAGGTGGCTATTTGTGTTGTTCTATATGCTTCTAACTGTTAGAGCAGAGAAAATGCATGATATCCATCACTTACTTGAAACTCTTCTGTCATCAACACGTAACTACAAAGCTACTGCATCACAGCTCATGAAAATAAAATATCTCATAATCTTCTTAACAGTGTTTACGTCAAATCAAAAGCGCCTCATCAGTGTTAAACAGTCGTTTGAGGGACGTTTTTGAACACATTCAAGTTCTCCTGATAATTAAATGATAAAAATCTCAATCCAATATACAAGACACTAGGCCATGAGTTGACGCCGGTTGATACGGAATAAACAACTCTAAAATTGATGTATTGTATTTTCTATTTCAGTGGGTACTTTTCTGCAACAAAGAAAATGTCTTATCATATGTTTTTGTGTCCAATTGTGTCTAGAAATCATGTGTCTATATCGTATAGAATCTCCAGTTACTGCATCATGATCAAGCCTATCACAGCCCACAGTACACATACTTATATATGCGTCGGCATCAATGTTTTGTACAGCTGCATCTTTCTTCATGAGGAAGCACTCTGGAGCTTCGCATGTGTTTCGTTTGCACTTTGGCAGTCTGACTACTTCCTAATGACTGTTTTGTCTGTGTGCTACATGTTGTGGATACCCTGCTACATGAAATACACTTGTGTTATGTGTTAGGAGATCTGTGGTTTTTAGTGTTGTTAGTTATTTGTTTTTCCACAAAATCCTATTCTACTTCCACTGATTTTTCCTTTCCCTCTGGAAAATACTGTTACTGCCAGTGAATGCCACGATGTTGCTTTGCAGTTCTCCACAGCTAGTGCCACATTCTTTAATATGCTATTATTTTGCCTCTTTTGTTATCTGTTTTTGCACCGAGAAAACAGAAATGAGAAGTGACGGAAGGTTTCAGTGTGTGTGGGATGCAGATAAGAGTTGACCTTTACTGTTTGTTTTATTATAAAGTCCTCTTTCTTCTCCGCCTGTAATAACATGAGTGACACTTGCTTTGAAGAACTAAAAAGGAAGTAGAGTTGTCCATCTCGAAATGTGTGAATGGGAAAATGTGTGTGTTGAATTATGAGCATAAGCAGTTTTTCTTTTCTTTCTATAATGCCATAAGTCAAAGCAAGTTTGTTGTGCATAGAATGTTTAATGTAACTGCACAGTCTTTGTGCTGAGTGAAAGTGTGTGGAGAGGTTTGTCCGGTAGCCATTTCTACATTGTGGCAAACTCCATTTCCTCGTCTGCACCACAGCAAAGCCTCGGTTAGGCTGCTCAGTCACACACTGTAGAGCTAAGCAACTCTCTGAAACACTTGAAAATTAAAACCATGACTTAAAAACCAGAGCTTTAGTTTTTTTTTTTTTTCCTGTGGCTGCCGCTGCTCTGCTGCTGAACAGTTGCATTTATAAATGATATATTCATAGTCGTGGTGAGTTATGAGGTCAGATTTCCTCTTGAGTCACACAGCTTCAAAAGCCAAACAGAAACACATGTAGAGATGCCAAGAGAATATATTTAACCTCAAAGGGATCCCCTTTTGAAACTTTACTGTTTCACATTGCATTTTTTCTAAAGAAAACATTAATCTAAAATTACACACCTTTGCTGTAGTTGCTCTCACATTCAAGTGAAATCAAATATTAACAGCAAGTCCAGAGGGTGACGTGCGATTGTGGGATTTTTTTAGAACATAAGCTAAAAAAAAGAGGAGCCAGCCAACTAATGATTGTTTTCATTATCACTTAATTTTTCTGATTATTTTTCAATTAAATGGACTTACGATTGGTCTAGACAAGTCAGCAAACAGCAAAACATGCCATCACAAGTTCCCAGAACGACGATACATGACATTCTTAAATTCTCCTTTTGCTTTGCTCAACAGCAGTCCACATCCAAAGTTATTCAGACTAAGAGGACCAGGAAATATTCTCATTTGAGAAGCTGAATCAGTTGGCTTTTTTTTTTATCATTATCCAAATAACACAGTTTAATTTTCTGATGAGTGACTATGAATTGAATTGTCAATTAATTGTTTCAGCTCCAAAAAAAAAGAACACACATTTCAATCATGGTAGGCACAGGGAACAAGTTTCTTCAGAACAAAAAACAAAAAATGATGGATTTGAGAAGTTTATTTAAATACCTGCTTAATGGAGTTGAGGAGCATCTCCAATTTCCCACTCCACTTTACCTTCTGTACATCAGCCCCTCGGAGCAGAGAGCCGAGGGTAAAGGCCCCGGGCTGCTGGGAATGGGGCCATCTAACTGTGTCAAGCCAATAGGCAACATCTCCCTGAAGAGTCTACTGGAGTCTTATGTCATTGCAGTGAACTGGGGCATGAAAGTCCCATCAACAAGCTGCAGTGCTGCAGACTTGACCAGCGAGTGGCTGTGCACGGACCAGAGGGGCTGTTCAGCTCTGCGTGTGTCTGCGTGTTTGTGGGCTGTGTGTGTGTGTGTGTGTGTGTGTGTGTTTGTGCGTGTCAGATTACTTGTCTGGATGAGCAGCCCTGTGAGGCGAGGAGTTGTGAGCTGTGTCTGAGAGAAAAGCAGGGAGGGGGGTGGGTGGTGTTGTCATATGAGGGATAGGATTGCATCCAGAAATGTGTCCAAATTTATATTCATTTTCCATTAAAAAAAAAAGTAGAAGTGAGCAAGAAACAAGAAAAAATAGAGGGAGGAAAAAAATTGGGTACACTTTCACATGCCACAGCTTGAAAAATGCAAGTTAGCACAGTGTTCAGACGTGTGAGGATGCCACAGTTTGAGGCTCAGTCTGCCAGGCGGCCTTGTAGAAATTTGTGCGCAGCATTAGAGGAGAGCTGGAACGAACGCCGTTCCAGACATGTCTAGACATTAGTTTTAGAGACCAGACCAAACTTGTTTATTAATTTTTCCACCTCCGTCTTCTCTTGTCACTCTCTCTTGTTGACTCTCTCTTTGTGCCTTTGTTTCTCTCAAATCAAAAAAAAAAAAGAAGTCTCTCCCACTTTCCTCCTTTCTCTCTCTCTGATTCTTTCTCTCCTCCTGTCTTCTCTGACAACAGTGTTTTGTTTTACTTTCCTCGCTTGGCAGTGTACTTATTGTATGTGCTGCTCTGTAAATATTTTTCTCCTTCCCTCATCCATTCATCTTATCCACCCCCCCTCACCTCTCCCTCTCTCTCTCTCTCCCTCAGATAAAGGAGCAAACAGACTCCACCCCCTCTCTCACCCCCCTCTCCCTCTCTCGCTCCCTCTC